ACACACAGAGAGATACAGCGGTGCAACAAGGAATGCAGTGATGAGGGTGTCTAAATGAAGACAGATTACATGTTTAGACTGTGTGAAGACCCACAGATTCTTCGGTCAACCTCATGGACCAAACTGTCAGTGTACAAATGTCCTATCATGCATCTAAACTGACAGGGGAAGCTGGGACATGGGTCGGTAGATTAATTTCCTGGCCAAATTAGGCGCTGTCAGGTATCCCAGTGTTTAATAATAAAATGAGTTATTTGAATATTTTGGGGGTTTTTTTTGTTTTTAGTGATAGAGGGAGGGAGGGAGATCAAAGACCTACAGGTGAAGATCAAACACTACAAACTAGGGACAAATATCATTTGGATATGTTTGATGCCTTAATTATTTGCAGCATATTTACTGATAACTCAGTAAGTAAAAATGTCATTTGCATGTATTAGTGTTTCATTTTATCTTATGAGCCATGAGAAGACCTGCTGATATTAGAAATAACTAAAATTCTTATTATGATATGAAATTTAAAATAAAGAGCAATCAGTGAACTATATGAGATTGATACTTAGTCCCATTTATGCCAGTTATACATTAACGTATTGCTTTTCTCTTTCATGGCACGCATTTTTAATTTCTCTTTGCTATTTGGGCTGATTGGGACCTGATGAATGTAAAAACAAAGAATTATGTTTTTGTTTTTTGTTTTTAACCTGATTTTTGTTCCTGAGAAAAATTAGATCCACATATGAGGACACTCGCTTTAAATTTCGATAGAACAGTGGTAGTATAACGTCCTCGTAAGTAAAGCAATATTTAGTATTTTGGTCTAGACAACCCAAAATGTGATATCCACATATGTGGACGCCAGGTCCTAGGAGTTTAAGGTTTTTATACCACACTACGCATCATGCAATCAAAAAAATAAGCGTCTTTAACTCTATGAAATACTTTTCCTTGCTATTACTAAGAATGGTCTTTTTCTTCGTCTGTGAGCCAATCAATTAAATAGTTTTTATACAAACATTATTTAACATTATTTAACACATGGACTTTTTCATTCCAGACTGTGAGACACTGGAACAGTCTCACAGTCTTTCCCCTTTCCTTTTATACAAACACCGGTACACAGATTCTGACTCACACGTATGCAGAGAGGCTAATGGAACATTACTCTTGTTAAAGCTAACAGTGCGTCTAGTTTTATACCATATCTGAGGGTTACCTGCCAGCACAAGGCGCTTATAAACCCCTGGTGATAAAATGATATTTATTCCAGATGCACTTGTCTCATTCTGGGCCTCTCTGTGGCTCTCCCTTCTTCTCCGTCTGACACACACACACACACACACACACACACACACACACACACACACACACACACACTATGCTTGACATTCCCAGCTAAGCACATGCTTATGACAACTGATGGTTGTGGCTACTGCTATTGCTATGTAATTGTTAAAGACAACTGTTT